TCCGGCAAAACCCTTAAGGTTCGAACTCTGGGGTGCGCACGGAGATCTTCTCCCTACCGATCCACGCCCCAAAACCTCGCCGCGAATCTAGCTAGCACGATGAACACACAAGGGACACGAGATTTATACTGGTTTGGGCCACCATTGTGGTGTAATACCCTAATCCAGTGTGTGGTGCGGTGGATTGCCTCTGGGGGCAACGATGAACAGTACAGAGGAAGAACAGCCTCGCGATGGGTGTTCTTGAGTTGGTGCGGTGTTCCACTTGGGAAGGATTCGATCCCCTCCTACTGTGGTGGCTATCCCTATTTATAGAGGCCCTAGTCCTCTTCCCAAATATTGAGCGGGAAGGGAGCCAAAAACGGCCATTTTGAAGGGGAACATCTAGTACAAGTTATCCTGACTAAAGTTGGTCTTCGACTACCAAAGGCACTGGCGATGACGCCGTCTTGGGCTCCACGGTGACCTCCGTCCTGCCGCTCCGCTGGCCTTGGTCTCGTTGCACCGAAATGGTAACCTTTGCTTGATGCCTCGGTACTCCGCGCCTGCGCTTGCCCGCTTTGCACCAAAGAGGAAACGAGGACACTGCGTAGGCTGGCGCCCGCCTGGTCTTAATCGTCATGGCTTGCATCATGAGCACCTCGCGAGGTACTCCTGCCTTGATCTCTCCGCCTCCTCACGAGCCTGCCTGGTGAGGCCGTTCCTGAGGAAGCCTTGCGTCGTCCGCCCCGCGAGGGTCTTGAGCTTGAGTTGATGAAGATGGGTCGTACTGGGCCACCCCTTGAGCCACGCCACAGGCCGCAGGTAGGCAGGTATGGGGACCCCTGTTCCCAGAATGCCGACATATATAAGCTGAGGGGTTTAGCTTGTAGTTGGGGATCAATCACAATCACATCCACCTAGCCCTAGGGTTAGAACACTACTTACGATCTCGAGGTAGATCAAGTTTGTACTCGATACACAACCATCAATACAGTCAAAGCAGGACGTAGGGTATTACCTCTTCGAGAGGGCTCGAATATGGGTAAACATTATCTCCTTCGTCCCTTGTTACCCGTTGTCCGAGATCCATAGCTCGGGACCCCCTACTCCGAGGTCTATCGGTTTTAGCACCGACACTCGGGGATTTTTGCAAGGAAACAACAACTCGCTAGTAACGTTTTTACACTCCTCTCAAATTTTCCCTATGAATAAAAATTCCCAGCAACTACTAATGTATAAGCTAATGCATGTGCAAGCAAAAAGTAGCTGCGTGAGGATCAGGGACGGGGAGAGATCAGAGGGTTTAATGTGCATGAGGGTGTGGGCATGCTAGCATATCCTAACAGATGTGGTGTGTGCAAAAAAACTGATCACTCACATTATTTCTACTGGATGAAACGGAGGAGACGGATCGCGTGTGCCATAGAGAGAAGGACCGCACTTCCCTTTTTTGGATGATTGCTCGGGGATTTTTGCAAGGAGACAATTGCTCGCTAGTAACATTTTTGTGCTCTTCTCAGATTTTTCCCAATGAATGAAAAGGCGCAGTAACTACTGCGGTATAATCTAATGCATGTGCAATCATAAAGGTGTGCTGCACGAGGGTGAGGGACGGCGAGAGACCAGAGGGTTTCACGTGTACGAGGGGCCTCCCCGTGCGTCGGGTTGGGTTACTGCCGCAAGGCCAGCATATCCTATCAGATCTGGTGTCAACAAAAAAGTTGATCACACGCATGAAATCTACTCAATGAAACAAAGGAGACGGATCACGTGTGGCATGCAGAGAAGGGTCACACTTACCTTTTTTGGGCGATTGCTCGAGAATTTTTTTCAAGAAGAAAACAACTGGTCGCTAGTAACATTTTTGCGCTCTTCTCGTTTTTCCCAACAAATGAACAAAAAAGCCCAATAACAATACTAGTATATGGTGATGCATGTGCAAACGGGCATTCAGGTCGCCACCGAGATTAATGTGAAAAAGCTTCATTTGGAGCTTGATAATGCTGGCGTGGTGGCAACCATTAACAACCCAGGAAGAGATCTTAGGACCCCTCGTTCTAGAGACGGCCTCCTCCAACCAATCCCCGGAAGAACATTGCGCATGCGCACTAGCATGTACGCTAACGACGCAGTCATCTTCATCAACCCTGTGCGCCAGGAGATCGACGAGCTGCTGCACATCCTTCGTCTCTTTGGAGAGGCTACCGGGCTACACATCAACTTAGAAAAATCATCATCCATTCCGATTGCGTGCGACGAAATCGACCTGCACACGGTTCTGCAAAATTTGGGGGGGGGGGGGCGATCGCGTCCTTGCCAATTAGATACCTCGGCCTGCCAATCACTACGGGTAGGCTCAGATTAGTGCACCTTCAGTTCATCCTCGACAAGATCCGCGCACGCCTTGCAGGCTGGAAAGGGAGGCTCATGCCCTTCGCCGGCAGATGCGTCCTGGTATCGCCATCACAGTGCTGCGGGCGCCCAAAAAGTTCTACAAGGAAGTAGACAAGGCAAGAAGAAGGTTCCTGGGCGCAAGACAAACTAGAGTGAGGCACGTCTCGATCAATACATCTCGAATCTAAAGAGAGAATGTTATTGTTATGTGGCCACTGGTGGAAAGTGCAAGGTGCGATGGCAGGCGGTGACCGCGCCAGTGCGCGCAGGAGGCCTGGGCATCCATGATCTGCCGAAGTTTGCCCGGGCTCTTCACCTGTGATGGCTATGGTTAGCATGGACGCAGCCCTCCAGCCCTTGGGTTGGCACCGGCACTCCCTGCGACGACGCCGATCGCACTCTGTTCGCTACCTGCACGTCCGTCACCGTCGGGGATGGCTCAACGGCTTCCTTCTGGCTCTCTTCCTGGCTCAACGGCAGACCGCTATGTCAGGCATACCCAACAGTGTTCGCTCACTCCGTCCGCAAGAACAGATCTGTCCAAGAAGCCCTGCATCAAGACCGATGGGTCCTTGACCTACGCCATGGTGACCACGGCAACATCATGCACATGGTGTTGCAGCTCGCCAGGGAGATCAGAAGCGCTGGCATCACGCTGGAGGCTGGAAGGGCCGACACTATCGCCTGGACCCTGGGCAACTCTGGCAACTACTCCACGTGCTCCGCCTACGACGTCCAGTTCGAAGACCGCCCGGCACTCGACTTCACAGCAACCATCTGGAAGGCTTGGGCCCCTGACAAGATGAAAGTCCTTTTCTGGCTGCTGCACTTAGATCGCCTATGGTGCAACGACAGACTCCAGAGACGTGGATGGACCAATAGCTACTTCTGCCAGCTATGTCTCCGCAACCTCGAGACTTCGTCGTATCTGTTCTAGGAGTGCACCGTTGCCATTCAGGCCTGGAACGAGGTGGCAACCTGGCTCGGTTCTCACTCCTCCAGCCATTCCACCTGGAGCACGGGGAGATCCACCGCCGAGAGGGTTCGTTTGATCATCGACGAGCCAACCCATGCACGAGGAAGGGCACCAAATCGCTGCTCACATTGATGGTCTGGCAAATCTGGTTAAAGCGAAATGCGTGCACCTTCTAGGGAAAGCACCATGCGCCCGCAGCATCACTGCGGCCTGCCGCCGCGACATGGAGCAGTGGAGGATCGCCGGAGCCAAATGCATAGCGCACCCCTTCGGGGACGTGCCGTGAAAATAGCGAAATCAGGCCCTCCTCGCCAGCTTACACACTCGTTAGGCTGGCTATGTAATCTCTCCTCCAACCCACCGATCACTTGATCAGACTATGTATTTTTCCCGCTCTCTTCTTCTATGAAATGAAAGCCAGAAATGGCCACTTTCAAAAAAAAAAGAAATCAAAGGAATGCTTCAATCCTTCAGGGAGGTGAAGGTGACATGGATTAGCCGTGGTGCCAATAGAGCCGCTCATAATAAGTTAGCTTAAGTCGGTTTAGGCGATGATTTATGTAAGGTTTGATTTTCTGTACCCCAAAGCACATTCTGGAGATTATCTCGGATGACATTCCCAGCTACGTTTAAGTAATGAAACGGCGCATTGATTAAAAAATATACTTCCTCCGTTCCTAAATATAAGTCTTTGAAGACATTTCACTATGGACCACATACGAAGTAAAGTGAATGAACTACACTCTAAAATGCATCTATATACATTTGTACGTGGCCCATAGTGAAATCTCTATAAAGACTTATATTTAGGAACGGAGGGAGTATATGCTGATGCATGTGCACGCACAAAGCTACGCTGCGCTGTAGCACGGCCACTGCACAATGAATCGGACGTTCTGCCCGAAACAAATGGAAATTGGACGTTTTGGCCGTGCCGGCAAACGGGTTGAACTCCCAAAGCCGCGACACATCTGCGCGGCAGAAGAACGCCGCGTCGCAGGGGCCTGCGGTCGCGTTCGGGTCGTCACGCGCCCCCACCCCGAAACGCGGCGCCACGGTACGGCTGTAGCCCCTCCGCAAAGCTGAACCGCTCGCTCTAGTACTATCTCAGCAGCCCCACATGCTGCATCACAAGCTGTACGGCCGCTTGGATTTTGCGGTGGCGTGAAACATTGACCGATCAATCATACGACCAGTTCACAAAAACACGGAAGAGCAGATCTCAAAAAAAGAAACACAATCGGGAGAGTACTGTAGCCTGCAGGAGCAATGGCGTCTTAGCACACGCACTCGCTGGGCAAACGCTAATCACGCCCCGGATAAGATCAGAGAGCTTTAGTGTACTCTTACTTATTTAACCATCTTTGTAGTAGTAGTGGTGGTGCTAAGAAAGCAGCGGTACTATTATCGGAGTAGACAAGGAACAAAGCCGGCCGGGGCGGTCTCATCTAGTCATCTCCGTGTCACACCAAGCCGGCGGTTCATGCACGCCCAAAAAAGAATCAAGGGGCGCGTCGCCGGTGGGACGATAGGCTACCAAAAAGTTCAGCTGGTTCCAGCTCCAGCGAGCGAGCAGCGCGTCGATCGACTGATCGATCGCGCGGTACTACTACGGTAAATGAACGCGCAGATTAATAACTAGCTTCATTTAAACAAAAAGATTCAGCAGCTCCGGCTCCTTCTCGCCGCCGGCGCCTGCGCCAGCGCTCGTGGTCACGGAGCCGTCGGAGCTCATCGACGGCGTGCCGGCCCGCCTCGCCCGTCGCTCCCCCTCCGCCGCCGCGGCCGATCCGGGGGTGAGGAAAAGCCCCAGGTCGCACGAGGGCTCCTGGTGGTGGGACGCTGCCTCCGGCGCCCATGTCTTCCTCGGCGTCACCCGCTTCGCCGCCGAATACGTGGAGCACCCCACCACGGCCCGCCTGGAAGAGGAGGCGAACAGATCGCTTCCACCGACTCCGCCTTCCGGGACGCCGCCCGCGAGCTCCGGCAGCGGGCGGATGGCGCCGCCCCGGAGCACGGTCTGGACCGCCGCCTCGCACAGGTGCCAGCTTCCCGCCCAGAGCAGCCCCACCGCGCCGCTCACCGGGTTGATCGTTCGCCCCGCCGCCTCGTACAGCAGCGACTGGAACACGGCTGCAATCCACAGCAAACAGCATGCAAACTTCAGCCAAAAAAGGTCAACACATATTCTGTACTGCCGATGCATAGTCGTGCCAAGAAGACCATCGATCTCCCGTCCGTCCGTACGTACCTGGGCGCTGCTGCTCGGGGACAGCGGTGAGGAAGGACATGAGGCCGGCGCGGCCGAAGAACTTGGCGGCGAAGAGGGTGGCGTGGCCCTGCGCGTCGGCTGCCTCGATCCAGAGCAGGCACGGGCGCAGCACGCAGGCCTCGTTGCACCCCTTGCGCAGCACGCGGCACCCGTTGCAGCTCATCCCCGACGTTGACGCTGACACCGCCGCCCGCTCACTCCCTCTCATACAACAGCCAGCCAACCCCGATCAAGAAGCCGACCTCGCCCACGGCCACGCAGGGGCGGTGTATATAACCAGGCGAGGAGGGAGGGAGGGGTGGGGAGGTAACCGGGCGCTAACCAGGGCCGGGCCGGTCGGGTGACCGTGATGGGTTAACTGGCGCGCGTGCTGAGGTAAAGCGGAAGAGGTTCCAGGCTCCAGGGGTGCGGGGGCGGCTCCGTGTCTCCGCGGCCGGTCGGTGCGAGCGCGGGCCGTCGGATCGAGGGATTGGACAGCGGGTGGGGGCCGCCGGCTCGGGTGGTGCGCCTCGCGTTCGCCCCGTCCGGGCTGCTTTCGTGTGTTTTTCCGCCACTCTTTTTCCGCGCTTTTGCGGTGTGCGTGGATCCGCACCTTGGGCTGCCCACGTACGTCCGGTACGTCCTGCGTTTTGGAACCTTGTGACCTCCCTCGGCAAGTGCTCCATGCACACAAGCTTTCTCACAAAAATAAATCGCTCCATGCATCCGGCGCATGGACCCTCCACCGCTTTTGGTGTGCCGAATCACTCGCCGGTGCAGCATCAAGGCCATTGGACCGAGCAGTCGCAAAGCCAAGGGGCTCATTTGTTGTACGATTATGTGTGCATATATATTTTGGACCGGTCTAGCGAGCGGCCGGCCCAAAATTACAAGTTTTGGTCCTCTAATAATTTATAAATAGCAATTATCTATTGTGTGTCTTTTTCTGTTAGTTAATGGATGTTTTTATTAGCATTAAATGCGTATAGCAAATGCGTACAGACTGGTCCGTGAAACACATTTATTTTCGTCTCTTAAATCTTTAAAAAGTCATATCTTTTAAACCACATGTTGGAATTCAGATCCGTTTTCACCTTTGGGTTCGTCGCGACGAGATCTTCGAAACTAGATCCCATATGGGTATGTTTCGACGAATTTTTTTTGATGCTAACTTTGGTGCTATATGGTGCAACTATAGTACTGCATTATGCAACTAGACTACATTGCCGTGCCAACTGAGTATATGTGTGTGTAACTAGTCATGCCAACTAAATATTAATGCGTGTGCAACTAGTGTCCTGCCAACTAAACATCAATGTGTGTGCAACTAGATTATATTACAAGCCAACTAAGCATATGTGTGTGCAACTAGTCTTCCTGCCAACTAAACATCAATGTGTGCGCAACTAGACTACGTTACAAGCCAACTAAACATCAATGTGTGTGCAACTAGACTACATTACAAGCTATGATAATTCATATGCGACTATGCGGACCAGATTATGCAACTATGTGGCCATGTATGTGCCAACTAGGACTACTATGTGTGCAACGACAACTATTGAGGATGCAGTTTCAAAAAACTGGGTTTGAAAAAAATTGCACCATGCAGTACTAAAGTTGCACAAAGCAGTACTGAAGTTGCACAATACAGCGCCAAAGTTGGCAACAAAAAAATTTCGTCGAAACATATCCATGCGGGATCTAGTTTCGAAGATCTCGTCGCGATGAATCCAACGGTGAAGACGGATCTGAATTCCGACGTGTGGTTTAAAAGATACGACTTTTTAAAAATTAAAGTGGCCAAAATAAATGTGCGTGAATCTGTTTCCAGGACTAGTCCGTACGCATTTAATGCTAACAAAAAACATTCACTAGCTGACAAAAAAAGACACACATGTAAGTAACCAGCCCGGCCGCCCGTTCCTACAAAAAAGTGGGCGTGCATTATCTCAAAAAAAATCTTGACGGGATACCTTGCGAAAGCTATAACCAAGAATAAATGAAATAATTGTGCCTAGCCTATGGCCCGTCGTCGCATATTATCACCAGCACGCACAAATTCGTGTGAGGTCCAGGAACAGTGAACCTAGGATGCCTTCCGCCTTTTTGGCTGGTGCAAACCTTTTCTCGTCGCCGCACCGCGCCGCATGTCAGCAGTCCAGCCAGAGTGCAGTGGCACACGGAGTGGTGCAAGTTGGCAAAGGCATCTTGGCTTTCTGTTTCGGTCGCACTTGGCCGTGTCGCGCCGGTTCGTGCCTTCCTCACAAACGCTCCGGTTTCCCGTCGTCTCGGCAACGCGATCGGAATCAGGTCAGGTCGCCATCCACCAGCTGCGGGACGCGGCTTCCGTCGCCGGTAACGTTGGCGTTTAGCCGCTTCACCGAAATCTTATCCTGGCCGAATAATTTTTTTTCCGCTTTTCTGCTGGAAGAAACCGAGTGCGTCGACCCGCGAGCAGTTAATTTGAGACCGCATGTCAACGTGTAGAGGGTTTGGCATGGATCGACGGTGATTGTCACTGGTCTCGTGACTCGTGAGACTTCGTTGCAGAGCATCTTCAGTAGAGAGGAGGTTATCACTACGATTCTCATCAGACATCACTCACGAGTGTTCGTCGTAGAGCAGCTGCCAAAATACAGCGGAGGGGAGGTGGTCTTCTCCTGCGCAACTCCATGCTACGGTACAAATGGCAACAGAAATAAATGTCACAATGGTAAATAACTTTTCTGCCAAATAAAATCTGTGCATAATGTTGTTTTCCAAGTATATTTATTGTTTATGTCTCGTGTCCTTAATTCCAAGGTCTCTTTGAACTGTAGAATTTTTCATCGAAAAATTGGAAATTTGAATCCTTGAGGCAAAAAAATAAAATAAATCTAAGGAACCTTTGGAGCATCGTATTGTGTGGTTATCAAATTCTATGGAAGGATGTGTCCCACAAAAGGAAAATTGATGTCTCAATTCCTTTGTAGGAACTTTAACGTGAGTAAAACTTCAACAAGTACTAGAAGTGCCGAGTGCGCTTCGCTTGGTATTGTTGAGATTTCATAAATTTTGTTTGTTATTTGGTTTGGCACGTGTGAAAGATGGTGTGTATTTTCTTTAATTAACCGTTCCTTCTCCTGGTACAAGATAAGAAAGGCTGGTGTTTCGGAAGCCTCTCTCCCGTACAACCGGAAGTAGCAGCAGTGTGACGAACGACGGCGGGCTGTGCATGAGCACGCAGAGAAGATGTGATCTGATCTAGGTGGCGACTAGGGTTGCCGACACCTTCAATATATAGGAGGTCGGGTAGGGAGGGGTGGGGTTAGGCCCATTCTCGAGTCGGCAATAACTCACGATCCGATGTCTCGAATTCGTAGCGTACCCGTTAATGTATGTAATTATTTTTCAATTAATTATCTATTCCTAGCCGGTAAAAATGAAGCCTCAATCTAGGAGACTACGACCATCATCACCACCATCATGATCATCATCCACATCATCGACATCGACCCCCTCCATTCATCTCATCGAATACCAAATCCTAGTGTAGATTCATATATGTGTGTTATATTAATCATTCATATGTTATTGCCATGAACACCATGATGATGTCCATTGTCTTTATATCTGAGTAGAATCCTAGTTCTCGGGGATATGATGAAACCCTAGTATGTGTATGAGCTGAACTCAGATAAGATGTAATATTCTCTTTATATGTCTTTGTTAACTATTCGTTGTGATTTTTGGTGAAGTCAACCTCACAAAATTTTCCTTAATGGACATGACATATGTTACTATCACTGGGACACAGGGAGGCGGAGGTACCCCGGTGACAACAGTTATTACCCCTCCCTTGTCGATCTTTGATATGAGGACTAACGGAGACCTCAAAGCATTATGTTTCGTCCATGGGAAGACCTTTCATAATGGTCCCTTTCACCAGGTTGAAGGAAGGATGGTGGTGGTGTGCGTAGATACAGAGCTATGGAAGTATGCAACATGTCTTTATTTTGGCTCTGTCACATATTAAAACATGTAACGTGGATTATGGATCTGAACCTAGAATCATGCCTACACAAGATTAAGTTAAAAACAAACTAGTGGTGGATCCGGACTCTCTGAGAACGCCTTAGCCCTACAACAATTTCCATCACTTTCCATTACACTTGTTCTTTATGAATTTTCTAGAGCACTTTAATGTTCTTTTAATTCTCTTGCATACTTCCACTTTCGCAACGCTTTTGCTTTGGATCGCAAATAACGTGCAAGCACTCTCCGGTAAATATCCACAAGCGTCAAAGACCATTTCTTAAGCTCTATGTGGGATCGATTTGCTTACTTGAAAGAAGCTACAATTGTACCCCATGCATATGTCTGGATGCAATCACCCAGACCGAGCCCTTACGAAACCTGCCAAACAGGTCAACACGGACACGAGCCCCACCCCCAAACCCATCTTCTCCCGGTCGTTCCCCATTCTATCCTCCCCAGACCGCCTCAAACCAGAGTACCATCCGACCTACCTTCCAGCATCGCCACTGATAGTCGTAGCCGGATGCCGGAGAAGTGCCCATGGGGCCCCATGGAATTGTTGCTCGGTGAGTTCCAGTCAGACACGCCTTCCTACACACTATTGTCTCTTTTGCCGCCAAATCCAACTGTCTCACATTGCTCTGCCTTCGCCAGAGTTCGAGGGTTCGAACGGTGTGGATTGGGAAATGCTCGAGGCTAAGGACGAGGAGGAGCTAGCACTTCGCCATGCAATTCGCTGATGGTTGAGGGGCGCATGTGATCATATACTCTCCCCAGCACCATGACATGGGCGGAGTAGCCGCTCGCCATCCCCGCCACCGCGGGATAGGGTGACCAGTCATGCTGCTACTTTGAGCTCCTCGTGCAACAATTCAAGCTTGCGTTGAACGCGTCCTCCTATCTAGAGGACCAATTCAACCGTGCTATCCCCTGTCTTTCCTTGACTACCAAGGGTCGGATGTGCATTGCAACCGCTGGAAAACGCAAAGATGCTCTGGGAAGGCATCGAAGCTTTCGAATGTAAAGCCGTCAAGCTACTAGATCCCAACAATAGGAGGACGATGAGGACTCCGATGGCTATAACTTCTTCGACGCCCGCCTCCACTTTGATCGCCAGCGAATGATGTTGTATGTCCTTAATAAATGTTCTAGGTTTATTTGTGTGATGAAATGATGAACTTTGTGCGATAAACTATGTACAATCCTAGG